TCATGTGATAGCAATCACCCTTTCCCTGAATGACTTTTCAAACTAAATATATATTACTTGCTATGTGATTGGTCACTCAGGTTTCTTAGTTTTAATTATTGACAACAAAACAATGATCTGATAGAGGCCCTAGTTAATGGCTTGGTGTGTCAACACAAGAGGGTTGGGGTGGAAAGGAGTTTTATCTTTATTCATTTAAAAGAGAACAGGTCTGACCATGGGCTGTGTGTCAACAGAAAGTGTGTCAAATAAGATTTATGGGAGACCATTGACTGAGAGAGCTCTTACACCAAAAGCCCAACAGAACAAGCCAAAATGGAGTCACTCAGGCTAACGTTTCATRTCACGAAACTAAACCTAACGGTTTACTTGTAAGATCTGATCTTCCAAGAATTCAGGAGAGAGATGATGATCAGAGACTTAAACAAGCCAGTTTATAAGCAGTATTCAAAGAAACAAACAGGAGAGTCATAGCAACCAATCACCAGGTGCCCAATCAACTCTTCTAGGCATGCTTGTCATCTGATGTCACCAATCTGCTCTTTGCACTGTGCTGCATCCTTGTTCCTGCTTAGGCTGCTATGGAACCACAAAAGTCGTCACACCTAGCAGAACTCAGATATGTTTTTATAGACTGGATGTCACCAAGTTCATGAATCACAAACAAAAGGCAATTCAATCTTGGGACCAGACTTAAGGAAGTTTTATTCTTTCTCATGTGTCAGTAGTATCTTACTCACATATGTAAGTAGATATAATGGTTGACAAATCTATAACAAGCTCTTTCATCTCTTGTTCTCATTCAGTGAGCAGTAGCAGGGTTGGTTATGGTAAGTGAAGCATCAGTTTATTCAAAAGATAATAAACACAACTCTCAGCATGAGGTCTTCATGAAATCTAAATTTTTCCTTCCACCAATTCTCATAACCCTGAATAATGAATTGGCATCGTTTCCAGTTATTATCCATAAACCAYAGTTGTACGATTTAATACAAATAGCCTTCAGCAATGCTCACCTAATGGTCACCTATGATTGATCAACTCTAAGTGACCTTATGTGTCTTAGACAATAGATTAAATAGCACAACCCCAATCCTTAGGAGAGCTGAAAGAATAATGTTGTCAGCCAGACTGCTTGGCCAAATTCTGGAGATGGTAGTTCAGTTTTAAGAAAAGTTCTGGGGATACAGTTGGGGGCAGGGAACAGTTATTGAGAGCAGAGTGGTATAGWTATAGGGTGGGAGTTAGGCTTTAGGCTCATGGTTTCCTTTTGTTCAGAGAACAGTGAGGTCAGGGGAGGAAGTGAGAAGGGTGAATAGTCTAGCCTGTGTACCAGAAGTAGACACAAGCAAAATTTTGAGTACAGATGAGGCCACTATGTCAGTCCAGGGGGCACAGTAATACACAGTAGTCACTTTTTTTCAGATGTCATACTACAAAATTACAAATCCTCTCTGAACTTATATAAGCAATGGTATTTTCCTGAGATCTCTCTTCATCTTCAAGTCAAAGTGCTGCATCAGGTAGGGTTGAAAAGTTTCATAAGGGCACATAAATAAATATAGGTTCCATGCTATGCAGTATTTGGGTTGTACTTAGTCCCCACAACCCTGGATTGGAAGAAATAATAATAAAGAAGGTGTTATGGGGCTTCCCCTCCTTAGATTGATACTAGTGGATGTAGTTTCTTTCTTCAGGAGAATTACAAGTGATTACTACATAGACCCAGTTGGCCTGGTGATTTACATTCTCCACTCCAAGTTAGAAGATGTTTCTCTGCCTGCAGTATGGAGATTCCTCAGAAAACTTGGAATGGAACTACCACTTGGAACCAGTGATCCCACTCCTTGGTTTATATTAAAAGGACTTAAAATCAGCACACTATATTCATGCAGCCACAACAATGTTTATAGCAGCTCAATTCACAATAGCTAAACTATGGAACCAACCTAGGTGTCCCTCAAGAGATGAATGGATAAAGAAAATGTTGTATATATATTCAATGGAATATTACTTAGTTTTAAAGAAGAATAAAATTATGGCATTTGCCAGTAAGTGAATGGAGTTGGAGAACACCATGCTAAGCAAAATGAGCCAAACCCAGAAGACCAGGGGCTGAATGTTTTCTCTAATATGCAGGTGCTAATTCACAAGAAGGCAGAGGGCACTAGAGAAGAATAGCACCACCTTAGGTAGAGGGAAATGAAGGGAGGGGAGGGGGGAATGTGGGGATAGGAAAAACAGTAGAATGAAACAGACCATTATTATTGTATGCATATATGTGACTGCATGACCAATATAATTCTACAACATGTACAGAAAAATGGGAAATTATATCCCATCTATGTATGACATATCAAAGTGCATGAATGCATCCTACTGTCTTGTATAACTAATTAAAACAAATTTAAAAAATTATTTTAAAAAATTCCATTCTCAGCTCTTAGCCTAATGAGGATGTAGATTTTTCTCAAGGGTAACTTGCTTCTACTTTAAGAGCAAATAATGTAGAAGGTAAGAGTAGAGATCTGGAATCTAGGCTTCTTAGGTTCAACTCCCAGGCCTGTTGCCTATTACCTGTGTAGCTATGGGGAAATTCCTTAGTCCTCGTTGACTCAGTTTCTCCTTGTAGAGAACAGAAACAACTGTATGTACCTCATAGGGTGCTTGTGAGAATAATATGATGTATCACATACTGAGATCAGAACAGGACACATAATCAGAACTATAAAGGTGATTGCTATTTCTATTTCATTGGAATGATGTCATGATTTGCTAATGGTACTATCGCCAACTAGAAAACTTCCATATAAATAAGCATAATACCAAAATTTACCACATTTGTTTAATAGAATGTCAACACAGAAAATAATCAGTAGCATTTCTATATCACAGTAGTGAAGAGTGAGAAGTACATAACAAAATTTTACCATGCACAAACAAATAAGTACTGTAAGATACATATGAATGAGTTTAGCAATATGACATCCAGGATCCTTTAAAGGAAAACGGTAGGACGTTGCTAAGAAAGTTAAACTGAAACAGAAATACATAACCAGGAACACAAAACCATGGGATAAATGTCCACTGTGTGACATAGTTGGGTCTGAAACACCTGCAGGATCAGGACTAAGACAAGGATTCCAGTCACCTCACTTTTAAAAAATATTCTACCAGAAGTCTTTACCAGGGCATTAAGAATGCAAAATTAATAAAAGTTAGGAATTTCAAATAGAAATAAAACTATCTTTATTTGTAAGTAACAGGGAAAAATTAAAGAATCAATGAATAAAATAAAAATTGATAAGATAATTCAGCAAGTCTAATGGGTAAAATGCACCCATACCCTTGCAGAATCTATTTTATTTCTCTATACCATTAACAAATGAAATTTCAGAACATGAAATTTAAAATTTCTACAAACCTATTTCCCTTGAGATTCACAGCCAACCCTCTAGCACTGTATCTGGATTAATATTATAACACTAACCATGGCTTAATAGTGATTTCCCCTTTCTCTGTATGACTTTTTGATTTAAAAATAAAATATCCTTATATGATTGTTCATCAAAGAGATTGTTAGTTTTAATTATTGAGAAAAATTATAAATTGATAAAAACTCGAGTTAATGGCACATCTGTTTGTTCATAAAAGAGGGCAGATGTGGATAGAAAGTTTCAGTTTTGTTCTTTTAGAAGAGAATAGATTGACTCTAGGCTGAATTTCAATAAGAGGTATGTTAGCAAAATTTATGGGAGGTCATCTATAAAGATGGAGCTTGTGCTTGTGTACTAGGAGATTAACAGATTAACCCCAAATAGAGTCACTGTGCAAAGACTTCCTGTCATTAAACCTAAACTGTTGCCAGGAGCAGTGGTACACACCTGTAATCCCAGAAGCTGAGGATGTTGAAGCAGGAGAATCATGAATTCAAAGTCAACCTCAGCAACTTAATGAGGCCCTAAGCAATACAGCAAGATCCTGTCTCTACATTATATATATATATATATTTTAAAAGGGCTGGGTATGTGACTCTGTGGTTAAGCACCTCTGGGTTCAATTCTAGTTCCCCAAACCAAACCAAAACAAAAATCCCAAAATGTAAGCTATTTAATTGTAAGATCAAAGCTTCCAAGAAATGGGGAATAACAAAGACCCAAACAAGCCAGTTTGTAAACAATATAAAAATAGACTAATAGGAGATTCACATCAACTGATTACAGGGGCCTGATCAACAGTTACAGGCATGTTAAGGAAATCCCCAGGCTTTAAGCCACACAGAGAAAACTCAAGGTCACTAGTCTGCTCCTTGCACTATCTTGCATCCTTGTTCCTGCTCAGGCTGTCATGCCACCACCACCAYTTGTCACACCCAGAAAAGCTCCCATCAATATTGCAGACTGAAGCCTCCTGGTTCTTGAATCTCTAATGATATCCAAAAAGGACTTTRAAGTCATGTTCTCTGACGTGTGTAATTAGATACAAAAGTTAGCATATTTACAACAATCATCTTTTCCTGTGTTCTCGATCATATAAGCAGTACCATGGTTGGTTATTGTGGGGGAAATATTAATTTGTTCAAAACAATAATTATGACTGTCTGCATGAGGTCTTCATGAAGCCCAAATATTTCATTTTTTCATTTCTCTTAATCTTAAATTATGACTCAGAGTCATACTCAGATATTATATGTTGGTCATGATTGGATAAATGATAYAATGCAACGTGCCTTCCATAATGTTCTCCTACATGTCACCTGTAATCGATCAGCTCGAAGTGACCTTGTGTTCCTAGTCAGTAGATTGAATGAGCCTCCAACAGGCTCTAGGAGAGCTGAGAAAATGATGCTGTCAGCCAGGATGCTTGACCAAGGATGAGAGATAGCAGTATGGGAGTTTGGTCTTGGGGTGCAAATGGGAGCAGGATATAAGTGCTAGTGGGAGTGTTATAGATACAGGGGGATAGTTAAGCTTTGGGCTCATGGTTTCCTTTTGTTCAGATTACAGTGAGGTCAGGGGCAGGAAATAGRAAGGGGGCTGATCTCTATCTGTGTACCAGGAGCAGTCAAAGCAACATTTTGAGTACAGATAAAGGCAGGTCTGAACCACTGTGCGAGTCCAGWAGGCACAGTAATACACAGCAGAGTCACTTTCGACCACATTTCGTACTTCTAATTTACATCTCCCATCTGGGCCTTTATTAGCATCATATTTCTCTGAAATGATTCCTGAGTCTACCACAACCCTACAATTGAGAAGATTATAGTACAGAAGGTATCGTGGGGCCTTCCCCTCCTTGAATTGGTACCAGTGGATGTAGGTACTTGCTTCACGTAAATCACAAGTGATTGGCACATATGACCCAGGTGAACTTGTGACTGACATCATTCTCCCTTCCGACCTGGATGTTTGGCTACCTAGAATGGTAACAACAATATAAATTAATGGCAAAGAGGGAATGGAATTCCTTGATGTGGCTCTTTTGGGGAAAGCAACATCCCATTACATCTGTGCCACATACTTACCAGGAGGCAGGGTGGCTAGAAGTAGGGCTAGAGCCCACAGCATGTCTTCTTCCCTGGGGCTTATAAGGAAAAGGACCAGATGATAAGAGAAGAAAGGCCTTCCAACACTCAAATCCTGCTCAGACTGGAAGTGATACCTCCAGCACTGACTTAGATCCTCCTGAGCCTCCTGACTGAGTCACAGGCAAGGAGAAGTAACTGAGGAGCTGCTGGAGAAGACAACCCAGCTGTTTACCAGAAGGGGTGGTGCTGGGAGGAGCCCCAGCCTCTTTGTTTCTGCTCAATTCTCTAGCGCCCCCCAGTGGACCCTGAGGGCAGGCCCTCTGCAGAGGAGGAGAAGCCAGGAGCCTGGAGAACACAAGAGCCGAATCAGGTTGAGCACAAATATGGTCAGAGGCAGAGCCCTGGATGAAAATGCCTGTCTTCCTGAACTTCAGGTTCCTGAAGTTCAGAGTTTTCAGGTTTCTGCTGCTGCCATGACCTTGTCCTGAGATGAAACTTTTTTATTATGGCCTGAAACCTGCACTTCATCTGTAAGTTGACTTTTGGGCAACCAACAACTGCAAATCTAATCAGCCTTAGATCTACTTTATTAAAACGGACTGGGGATGTTGGCTGCACATGACACTACTCAAACAAATAGATGTGGGTGGGACATGGGGATAGTGGAAGGGCATGAAGCTACCACAGGAGGAACTCTGAAACAGAGGGCCTAGGTCACATGCAGGATGACTTTGCAGCTCCCAGCATGCTCCATTGTCAGTCAGTTCATATCATGATCCTTCCTCTGTTCAGCAAAACTGAATCTGACCTGTCAATTAATAATTGAAAGAAAGTTACATGCTGGATCCTAATGGAAAGAATGCTTGATGTGTTGAAATAACACATATTCAGTAAGCAAAATGCCTTTTACATCTCAGGAGTGGAATTGAAATTACACTAAGTCCACAGATTAGCCAGATGTCAGGTTAATAATTTTGTCTAAGAAGGAGCGTTACCCCAGATACACAGGTATAAACCAGTAGAATGGAGCTCATCCTCATAGGAGGAATGAAATATTTGTCCTCTTAAAGGCTGACAGTGAGCATAGAAAATGTAAAATGAGTGTATGATTAGAATGTGCTGTAAAGTCAGACTGAAAAAGTCTACACTACTCCTGGAACTGGACAGGACTTAAGCATCCACTCTGCACCATGGCTGGGTAGGGTAGGAGTGGGACTTTCTTGTTTTTATGCTCAAATTAGCCTACATCCCTCTTCTCACTGACTCCAAACAACCATTTATGTGATGTTAATGTCCTGTGCAAAACATCACTTAGGTCGAATCTGATGTCATGCTTTCTCTGAAGAAGGACTATTTTGATTCAATATATGTCTTTCTACTCCTGAAGCACCTTGTCTATATCTATAGATACCTATGCTAATGGCTTCAAGACATGGGTTTTCCTCCTTGGTCTATACCAAGAAAACAAAACAAAAAGGTACCAGAATCCTTGAATCAAATACCCAAGAAAAGCCAGACACTTGTTGGAATGTTAAGTATTTTCTTGGGGCTTCACCTTTGCTCTTTCCTTCAGAACAGTGTCAGGAAGGGTGGGGATGGGGCTCAGGGATAGTTTGCATAGATAGTATGCTCAAGCCCTGTATTGGGACCCCAGCACCACAAGCAAAAACAAAACAAAACAACAACAACAAAAAAAAAAAAAAAAGAAAGAAAGAAAGAAATGAAAACAGTGGTCAGAAGGTGTGGTATCTGAACAATCCTGAACATCAGATTCCCAACTCCTCCCACAAAGGATAACTTACTTTGCATATACAACACAGAGAGCCCAGGATATCACAGCAGGGAGAGCAGGTCCCAGCCAGCCTCACCCATATAAAGGTGGATGTTGTTTTTCCACTAACTGTGACTTTTCAAAAGTGACAAAGTCGGTTGTGGTTTAACTGCCCTGGTCTTCTCTTCTAACACTCCAGCCACCCCTGAGCTGCCCTAACCAGGAGGGGCTGGTTTGACACTGAGTCTTTTCCACAAATCAACCACATTTGACAGAGCACGGAAACAAAAGAAGCCTGAGAAATTAAAACACCATCAGCCACACCAGTGCCCACCCCCTACCCACCCTGTGTCCTCCACCACCAGTGTTCTCCCTCTGCACTGCTCAACTTCAGGGCCACCCAGGTGCACTGGGGGAAGGAAGGGGATGAAGACCCCTTTGAAACCACAGGAAAAGCTGCCTAGTGCCCAGCCAGTGATGTCAGCCCCACAAAGCTCTCAGTGATTTCCAAAATTCGTGCCTTTGTGTCTGCTTTCCTGGGGCAGGGAGAGTTCCACATCTCCGAACAGAGGGACACATTCGGCTAAGTCATGGCTAAGTCGTCATTCTGTTTCTCACCTTGGAAACATTCATTTTCATCAAATTAAAATACGCATGGCCAAATGCAGATATTTGATTTTTAAAATTTATTGTGTCTACTGTGAAAGACAAAGCACAGACTCCAAGTAGCAAACATAGGCTRCTTTAGGGTATTTAGAAAGGAAGACTTTAAGATAGTCTTTGCTTAAAGGGCACTGAGGGCTGTGACTGAAAGGTATACTCTGTCCACACCAAACACTGCCGTGATTTGGGCTGGCTGGAGGGGCTGATGGGGACTGTGGAGACAGAGGGACAAGGGGCCACCATGGGCTTACTCCCTGTTGTTGCAGAGTGAAGTTCCTGAGTTTGCCCATTGGTTTGAAAACCTTCTGCAATAACGACAGAATAATACACATATGAACTTAAGGAGCCCGAACTCAGTAAACAAACCCAGCCAGGTCCTCATCAAATGCTGTTCAGGACAATAAATGAAGAACACAACACGATCCTGTTGTACCACTGTCTGTTAGGAGCTCTTCCCATTGCTGCAGACAGCTGTTCTTCTTAGCAGACAGAAGGTGACRATGGCCAAGTAGACCACACTCTTGAGAAGCAGAAGGAGGTAGGTGCAGTAGGCRGAGGTGTATGTGAACTGCAGCCTCATTTCATCTAAACAGAAGTTGTGCAATTAATTTCACCTGTTCTTTGACAGGAAAGGACTCCTCATGGGGGAGGGTGCCACAGATGTTTACTTTTGGTGACATACACTGAAGTGACACCACCCCCACCAAACCCCAAAGGTCAACATCTACCAATCTCACCCAAAGTACCAAGAGCAAGGTTTAGCTTATAATCAAGTTCATTAACAACCTCTGTCATATTCACTTAGAACCTTCCTAATGTCAAAAAGCAGAACTGCATTTTTAATGGATGAGTCAACAAGAAGCAAAAGTATATGTGACAATTAGGTAGTCAAATTGCTTTACCCCAACCTGTCTCCGAATAATAATTAGAGACAATATTAATCAACCAGTAAACAAAGGCCAAACAGTATTCTAAGAGCTTCATATTTAAAGTTCTCCTCTTACTGAATCTTTACGATGACTTATGAGAGGGATTAGTTCCATTCTAATTTTGCATACAAATTTTGGACACAGTAATAAATAATTTGGCTCTTGTTAGGTATTTGGTGACAACCATAGATTTTTGATCCCAGCAACATGACTTTAATAAATACATTTTCATCTACTCTGTGATTCTTCATCTCCAAGTGTAATCACCACCCTGTAGATAAGAAAGTTAGGCATATACAAAGGTGAACTGCTGATTAAGGCATTGCACATTGTGTATTCAGTGAGATCTCTCAGAAGGGGATAAAGAATTGAGATGGAGGGCAGGATTTTCACAGCAGGATGAATGGGAGATTTTAGAAAAGAGGACATCATGTAAAATGGAAAAAAGAAGTTAATTTAAATTCCTGGAGACATTAGGGGATTTGGGTCACACTCCCCTTAATTCTCTAAATGCTTTTGTTGATGCTATAATATTTTGGGGTAATGACATATAATATCCTTTGAAGTTTTATAAGAAATATATGATATCATGTAACAATTAAAGATAATGACAGTGGGCTACTGTGGCCACAAGGACAAGTCTCTTATTGTAGAAAACTCCGTCTGCATATTCCATCTTCGTAGAGTCAGAACTCAAGATTGACCCTCAGTGTACAAAGAGATCTCCAGAAAAGTTTTCATGGTTCCCTKCCCTGGGTCAGGTGTGGGTTCCAGCCTCTCCTTGCCTGTATGGCAGCTGAGGTACAGTGGAGGTCCAGACCCAGGGATACTGGAAATGCAGGAAAGGTAGGCCTGGCTGGAGCCAGTGCCTCCSGTCATCTTCTGTGTGCATATGAAGGGAGAAAAGGGCCAGAAACTAGTTTTTATTCTGCTAAAGATATGCCCTATGCTAGACGTTCACATTTGTACCTTTACCTCTTTAATATAGGTGGATTTAGTATAAGTATTCGTCATTGGCAGAGTTTTACAAATAGAAATTACTCACCCATGTGGATACAACTGATTGCCCTGAGAACGAGGAACGGACCAGTCTGTGGTACTCTGAGGCCCATGTACTTCCCACCCCACCATGTATCCACTCTGCCTCAGGACCAAGGCTTTGGAACTTCTTGCTCTGTGACTCTATCTTCAAGGAAGAATAGAGAACTGAGTAACTCTTCATTTGAAGGCCTGAGTTGAAACCCAAGGTCTGGTTGTATGGCATGTGCAAGGGACTCAATCAATTTTAGCTCATCACCCTCATCGGTAAAACAGAGAAAACTACTGGACCACTAATATCTGTATGATGAGGGTATTTCTTGTTACAAGAAAATGCACAGAGGACACAATACAAGGTCTTCTATCAAAGATCCTTATGTAAGCACTAGTTCACCTTGTTAGTAACTAGGTTGAACTTTGAAATAAATCTAGAATCAACCTGATATCACATTTTCCCAAGTCATTTGAAATGATAGACAGGTGAATGAAAGAAGTTCCTTTGTTGAAATATTTCAAACATATCATTGTATCCTCCAATCACAGTCATCTCCTGTGCAAATCAATAATTCTCTGTGTTAATACGATGCCTAAGAAGTGAGGCATTAATTTAACATATCACTCAGTCTATTCTACAGCAGACAGCCATTCTGGTTTTCCACCTTATACCAGGGCTGTTCAAAAGTGAAGATGATAAAGAAGGAGAGAAGTGCTAAAGCTTGACATGCAGGCAAACATACACAAAAACTTACCATATATATCTTTAAAGCAAGCTTCAGGAACAGTCTTGTTGACACGTGCTAAAAACCAGAGCAAGTACTGGTCAATTATTCATGGCAGATATTTGACAGCATGAGTGTATGTGCTATTTAAATGTGTACATAAATAAATATATACAATCAGTTCACCCAGAGACAGGACGGCATTAAAAATCTAAGCCCCACAATTACAGAAATAATTGGTCTCACTCTATAATTCAGTAGATATCATTTATATTTTATGTTCCTGCTTATAAAGGATACATTTTTAACCACTGTTATGATAAATGTCTGAGATCACCTGCAACAAAAAGCAGCTATGGGTTTTTTTTTTAAATTTTACTCCAAATCATGCATTTTCCCAATCCAACTATTCAAACCACATGGATCACTGCAGAAACTAAGAGTACAGAAGACAAAGCCTCACTTAAGAAATCTGGGTCTTGAATGGCAAAGGTCTTCATATGTTCTATTTTGTACTTGTTCTACTGGTGGAAAAGGGCTTATAGCCACAAGGAATAGAACAAGAACAAGTCCTTATGGCCACTTTGGGGCATTTGGACTTCTGTTTAACACTCAGGACTATGATGCACTGTCACTGAACTGCCATCAGGACTCTGCAGATTCAGCCCCCTGCTTAGCTGTGTGGAAATGTACCTCATTGCATCAAAGGAATTCCTTTAGGAACTGTGCCTAATTCATGTATGACCCCAAGTGATTAGGAAAAGAGGATTCTCTCTTCTCCTAGATGGATGCCATTCAGGCCTGGCATACGCTAGAAGTACAGGAAATATTTTTTGACCTGTGTTTACCAATGGTGAGAAATATATTCATTATACAGAATACAAGCATATTTGTGCATGTTAGCCTCACCCAATTTTTAATGATGAAATTTTGTGTAATGATGATATATGAAATAAAAGCCAGAAAAACCCAAGGCCTTCATGGAACTCAATAGCCAAGGTGATTCTGTTTTGTTGGAMCATGCCCTGGCTCTTGTCAGAAAATTTTGTCATTCTGGGCAGGTTAAACTTTGTGTATAACAAGATGGAAGTGATGACTTTGTTTGCTTGAGAGAACATTCCTGAAAGAGACGTAATTACTCCTATTTTGCTAACTTATCAAAAGTAGGAACTTTTCTTTAGTATTTATCATGGGTAAGTAGCTAGGTGCTTTAATATATGTTATTTCTTCCCTTCTTTCTTCAATCTAATGTATGAAATATGATATGTCAAGAGCTTTGTAATGTTGTGAACAACCAAAAAAAAATCTACAGAATATCATGTGATCTGAATCTTTGAAATGATGAAACTGAGGCCAAGAAAGATTAAGAAAAATTTCAACTTTTTTTTTTTCTCCAAAGTCAATACCATTTTAAATGAACAGAAAAACACTAGGCCATTTAGGCTTCCATTTTCTACAAAGGCATTTTGCGTGGGGGTACTTTCACATTTAAGAAGGATTTACATCCTTGTTCACTACTACATCCTAAAAGGGTAGGATACTCTTCATCTAATATGTTTTCTGGAGCAGTAGCAAGCAACTGTTATCCAAGAGATATGTGAAGCTGAGACAGGAGAACTGTGATTTTGAGGTTCACCTGGGCAACATAAGGAGACCCAATTTCAAAAATAAGAAGAGAAAATGGAAGTTTTCAAGGAGGTTATATGTACATTTAAATACATGTACCTTTCTTTATCGCAGGAAAGAGAATCTCTTGATCAACTCCACCTTTATTATTCTCGTGTTTGACGATACACCTGTGCTCTTTATCCATTGACTCTCCAGTCACRGTTAGCCAGCTCATCTTCATGTATGTGTCATCAGTCTTTATAGTGTCTCCCTCCTGGGATTCCAGAATACTTTCACCATACTTCTCTTTCCAGTATACCTTAATGACATCAGGGGAAAAATTCTCAAGAACACAAAGATGGGTCCCGGCCTTATGGCGGTCTATTTCAACAACTGAAGGAAGAAAAATGGTGGGCTTGGGGGAAATTTCTGCGTCAGAGCTTTTATCTGTGGAGAAAATGGAATATCAATAAAAAGAATTACTAGAGAAACAGAAATGTTACATAGTTTGGAAAAACCTAGTGCATGAGAATAAGAAGACATTGAATGTCTTCTTATTCTCATGATGGTCTTTCATTCCCGCATAGGTTGCAAAGTAGAACTTTCTTTTGTTCTTATTGAAAGTTGTGGAGAGAGGTTCAAGAGGTTAGGTGGCTCTGCAAATCTGAAAGCAAATCTGGCCTTTGTCCTTTCCCCATGTGCTAAGAAGGGGATGACTTTTAACTGTTCCTAACCAAGGCTTTCAAAACTCATGAAATCCCACTGATTTATTATTATTATTATTTATTATTAGTAGTATTATTTAACTCTCCTTGCTTTTCTCATAGTAGAGAATACTGCCAAGGATGAGAGGGAAGAGAAGGAAATCAGGTCACTTTAGTGACCTTCTAAAGTGCTTCTTTGCCCATTCTTTGTCACTTCTGCTCTCTGGCCAAGTAGCTCACAGTCTCATACTCTGCAATTCTGTGCAACCCATTTTTTATTTAGCTGACTCTAGAATGCACACTATTTATCTTATTTCTTCTACAAATCAGTGTCAGGAAGTAGATTTTTCAATTGTTTTGTAATAATACGCAGCCACTTGCTTTAACAGGAATCTACTGACCATGTAAACTTAACAATCAAGTTGATGTCTGAGATTCAAATGAGGATCCTGAGACCTATTCTGATATTTCTGAGGTTCTCCTAATCAATTTCTAACTTGATTTAACATATCATTGTCACATCTGAACTACTCCAAAGTTTTGGGGCAGGTAATAGTTAAAGTTGCACCTCCAAATTATTTGGTGCCTTGAATTTGCAAGCAAAATAGTAGCATTTCCACAACTTTATTAAATTCATACTGATTATTTTCAGAAATACTCTGGTGAAGTTAATCTTATCAACTAATGCACTTATCATAATTTTTTTTTGCTTTAGAAAATATTCACCAAAAGCACATTTCATTTTGTAATTTCACTTGAAATTCAAGTATCACTAGGATTACACCAGTGAGGTATTTTTATATTCATTTGAGTCTACTGAGATGGTCTATACATATCTCCATATCAACATTTGAATATCATTGCCTCTCCCCAAATTTGTTCCAATTTATATGTAACTTAACTGTTTTGGAACTCAGTTTTTCTCTTCATCTTAATCTGCTGAATAAAGTGTATTTATAATTGATGTAAGGTTGAAAGTTAAGGTTCTAAAGTTTCTCACAACCATAATACCAACAAAAAGAAGCATCATGTGTTTACAAAGCCTCGAATGTTCACTGGTTAGACACATTTTAAACTAATGACTTAAATTATATGTGTTGGAACCCTATTTAATTTGATTTCCAGTAGAAAATCAAATACTTCACCAACTTATTAGGTTTTAGCTACTTTGAAGTTATAATAATTCAACATAATTTCTTAAGAAAAGGAGAACTGGGTTTGTCATTTGAAAAGAAAAGGAAAAAAATATTCTTGATTTCTGCCTGTTGCAGCTGAGATTCTGTTTTTTTTTTAATACAAAATCAGTAAGCACATAATGTTAATATGTTAATAGTGTTTGGCCTAAAAATTAGGTCATAATGTGCTTAATTTTATGAATCTTGTTTTTAATGCACATACTTAGATAGTGTGTATTCTCCAAAGCATGTTATAAAAGGTAAAATTTTTGTAATACTATACTTTTATTTTTTATTCTATATATTAACAAGTCTAATTTTCATCTTAGAAACTTGCTTTTCTTCATGGGAATACTTCTGTTTCATTACTTTAAAGAAACTGAAAAATGATGAACTTGAAAATTTTCTGTACTATAACTCAACATTCACTATTTTTTGTTTCCTTTTCTTAGCCAGATTCTTTAGGTTTCACTCTCTTTAGGATAAAAATAACCTAGAAATTCCATCATTTTCTCTACATAATATATACCTAAGCATCAAGTAGTGTACTTCTTTATAATATGATTAGTATCTGCATTCTGGATCCTCATATTGCATAGTCTTTTAAAATTTTACTATTAAATGTACATATTAAAAGTGGCTTTTTTCTTGCTCAAATTTTTCATGATGCTTAGCATGGCAGTCATTCTATTTTATTTGCACAGCTAATAAAATGGCTACTATTTATTTCAGGTATTTTAAAAATTAATAAATCTTGGGGCTGGGGATATAGCTGAAGCAGTAACATGCTGGTCTGGCATGCATGGGGTGCTGGGTTCGATCCTCAACACCACATAAAAATAAAATAAAGATGTTGTGTCTACCAAAAACTGAAAAATAAATATTAAAAATTCTCTCTCCTTAAAAAAAATTAATAAATCTGTCCAATTCATTTACATTTATCCCTTTGAGCAATCAAACAACATATTTTGAATTAAATTAAATAATCAATCAATATATTTGAGTTAAATTACCCAAGTTGCTTATAACTTAAGATATAATAATATGAATTCCATATAAATTTATCAAATATCAATCACAATTTATATTTAAAGTATTATATTTCAAATCTGCTTATGAAATATTATTTAATTGTTCTCTATTTTTGTGTCTTCTTTCATTAAATAGTAATAGCTATATCATATTTACCTTTTCATTTAAGATTTATAATATTTCCAACTATATTTAGTTGATTTTATATCCTGATCACTTTCTGTATGAATTTAAAGATCTGATATAGGCAAAAGACTAGTCTTATTGTCTACAGATTTTATTATTAATTAAGATTAATAATTAAATGTTTTTGAAAACACATTTTAGTGTAGTTTTTCTTGCAAAAGGATGCCTGCTAAATAGAATCAAGTACCTCCACATTCAATTTTTTGTGAGAGTGGATGTTAGCCATTCATTTTCATGATTCAAAATATATAMAAATATATAAATATTTAAATATTTATATATATATTATATAAATATATTTATAAATTAAATATTTAAAAATATATAAATCCTTTTGAAAATCTATTGTAAATTTTATTTATTGGAAATAGCTCTGCACAGTGGATATAACATTCCCTTCACATTTTAATTGGAAGAATATTTCTTGGGCACCTATTATGTATTCAACAATATGCCAAGAACTTCATTCACATTATTTCATGCTATTCTCATTTAATTTTGCTGGGTTCATATTGTTGTACCATTTATGGAGAAGGAAACAGGCCAAAGAACAATTTCCCATGTTCACTAAGCAGTAAGTGGCGGAGAAAGAGCTCCAAGTCTGCCTACTCACTACTCTTCCCCATGCTTGACCTTAATAAAAGGAAATGTGTCTTCTCTTTTGAGTCTATCACAAATCTACCTGTAATAATTAACTTTGCCTCAGAGTCAAACACCTTAATGATACTATTCTATATATTACATATAAGCCTTTTTAAAAGTTCACATGTACACAAAACCAATCTCATAGCATTTGCACAACATTGTCTATGTTCTCCTTCAGTATAAGGATTCGATTAAAATCTCTCCTAAGAGTTCTCCATAAAATCTCCTTTACGTTCCACTTTTTTCCCCTAAAACTATTATTGCAATARGCTCTTTCCTAGCTTTCCTTATATTACCTTGGAAATGTTGTATACTTCTGATATACCCACCTGTGACAACAAGCTTAGTTCCACCACTGAAGACTTTCTCACCATCCAATTACCACAGTGATTTTAGCCATGTCAAAAATGTTAGACTAGGTTTTGCTCTTCAAATTCCTGTGGCCACATGATGCCCTGGAATTCTCTAGAGAGCAGTGTTTTGATTCTTTTTTAGTTTGCTCAAAACAAGTTCTGTGGCTGAGAAAATAAAATAACTTTAAAGTTTTGGGTGCTTTACTTAACTGGAAACAATGATGAAAGTGGAAATCCATTCAGTACTGTTACCAGAAAGGAAATGAGACCAAAATGGAATGAGATGAAAAACTAATTTGATTAAAACCACTACAGTGACACAAGAGGTTACTATCATCATCATCATCATCAGTAATTTGTTTTCTATGACTGTGTGCTCCAACATGACAATTTAAGGGCCATTTCCAAATAGATACTGTAGGGCATATACACCCCATACTTCCCATTACTCCTAAAGGACTCATGCATTGATATCCTTTTCTAATTTTATAACAAAAATGTTGTATTTGAAAATTCGGTGTGCTTTTAAAATAAATTACTAAAAAACCATGTATTCCACTACAGTTTTCTTTTACCTTTATGCATAAAGTTTTAAGCCTCCATCCTTCAGGGATCCACAGTCACTCTGAATTCCTTGTTAATGTCTCCCATGCCAGATCAGGGAGAATACTGCCTCTCTGGACCTGGACCAAGTCTCCTGACCACTCCAGAGGCCAGACTATGATAAGTGAACAAACCAGGAGCAATTCCAAGAACTCTGATCAGCACTACCCTGATCCTGCAGCACCTGCATCCCTGCTTCCACTCCCTACTTAACAGTGCAGAATCAAAAGAAAATTTAACCTGAAATGATGAGCTTTGTGCCAGCACCAAACACTTCGATTACATTGCAATCCATGACACACTATTTAAAAAGCCTTTATAAAAACACAACACAAAAACTGTTTTCARTAAATATTTGCTGAGTAAATAAATGAGCAAATGAGATTGTAAAATCATGAAGAACGTTTTGCTAGATCTTGGGCTGAAATGATTTGTGTAATTTCAGGTTGTAGTAATTTATGCTTCTCTGGGTAATATAAGAGTAGCAGTTTTGAACTATTTTCAGTTCACCTTCTAAGGAGTTAGAGCAATAAGAAGAGGATTCATTGATATTATATAGCTCTTTACTCAAAGTATTTTTTCACTGTTCTATTGCATGAGATCAGAACTAACAACAGATATTTTGCAAGTTATCTGGACAAAACTTCACTCATACCTCAAAATATAGAGAAGAGGTAACTAATAAAATTCCATTTTGAGAATTCTCAATTAAAAGATCTTCTATTTAAAAAGTATTTAAAGCAAAAATTGATAACAATAGGCCATATACATGGTCTTCAGAACCTGTTAATTTCTAGCCTGTTATTATTTGTTATATATAGGCACAGTACTGAATGTTGAATTTCAGTCAGCTTCCTAACAGGAAAGGGAAGAAACCAGTTACAAAGTAGTTTGGTTGCCATATCCAGTACCCAATACCTGTTAAATTTTTGTTCATGTTCTGAGGCAGGGTCAGAGAAGGTTGATGGTAAGTTACTTTTTCTACAAAGCTTAGGTCCATTTTACATACTAGGATAAAAATAGAAAACTGTTACTTACCAGGGGGAGTTAACTATGAGGTTAGTTCCTTCTGCAAATATCTTGATTCAATCTTTGTCATCACAATGCTCACAGTTTCTACAAAAATCTCAGCCTACTCTTAAGCTTCATGATATGATGAACAGTTTAACAACTTTGTCCTGGAAATTTGATCTTCTGACGTCTTTTGAAAGCCCTTAATTACAGACTTTTGTGTTATCTGTTAAATTGGAAATTTCATCATATATTGACTTCATAAGTTATCTGTTTCCAACTCAGATAGTCATCATGGGAAAGTGACAAAGGGAAATAGTAAATTTAAGGGCAGGAGAAGAAGAGAGTTGGGCCAACTGGTCAACCAGCTACGTTTTTCCAAGTTATCAGGATAAGTGTTCTGAGAACTAAGTCTGTTTTCACCCAGGTGTTCAGTTGTGTTGAAACTGTTCAGAGATTGCATCAAAGGAACAGGCCTTCTGCTCTCATAGACACCAAGGCCTCTTTGTTAGCAATTTGGGAATATATTTCTAAAAGGAGGAAGTTCTTTGGTAACTAAAAATGCAAATGTGCAGACCCATTTGATAAATGTGAACCAAAGTCTCCATTTTCAACATAGCCACAGTTACCATTTGACATCATGATCATTATCAGGGCAAGGTCTGATAGATAAGATAATTTCTATGATGACTTCTTATCTTTCCTGGAGTAAGAGAGTAAAATTGTCAAATCCTATCTCCCATGAAATTATAGATTTCTTATTTAAAGTAAAATTGAGGGGAAAAAATCCCAAGTCAACAATATGTTTTTTTAAAAAAAGAAGAAGCCTTTTGGAGATAGTTCTTGAACTTTATGCCACTCATCTCAGAGCAGGCAAAAAAAGAATTACCAGAATCGGTGTCCAGGTATTAGGACAAAGAAACACAGGCTCTGATGACCTCCATGCCACTCCAGGCCCACCCTGTCCTGGCCTAAGTTCTATGAGCAGACATGGCTTCTGCTCACAAGGATGAGGGATGAATATGGTGGACAATGGCCCATTCACAGCAGCTCACAACTACCAGCCCAATTAGAAGAAGAGAACTGGATAAAAATTATGTTCAGAAAGTGGGGTTTTTTAATGTTATACATAAATGTATTTATTTTGATCAGTGATCAGATACTTTATACTTCATTGGCTGCTTATTCCAAGACTTGTAAAGTGTTTTTAAACTTTGAATGACTGGTTGATTGATTCATTGGTTATAAAGATTTTCTTTGAAACCAATAATTTCATTATTTTTATTATTTAGAGCTGTTATTTATACTTTGCACCTTGTGTAAATGTGTGAATGGTGACCATTCAATCCCTTTGCCCTGTTTTTCCCTTATTCTAGTATCATAAAAAGAATTATCAGAAGCCTCAAAAATTGTCTGTATTGGGCTGGGGATGTGGCTCAAGCAGTAGCGTGCTCGCCTGGCATGCGTGCGGCCCGGGTTCGATCCTCAGCACCACATACCAACAAAGATGTTGTGTCCRCCGAGAACTAAAAAATAAATATTAAAAATTCTCTCTCTTTCTCTCTCTCTCTCTCTCTCTCTCTCTCTCTCTCTCTCCTCTCTCACTCTCTCTTTAAAAAAAATTGTCTGTATTTCTAGAGCCATGAAAAATTTAATAAAATGGAAAAGGAGTTAATTTTAAAACTTGTTATTACATTTATACAAAAAATATGAGAAATCTATTAAGAGTACTGAGTGAAGTTTTACCAAAGACCCACAATAAAACCTTAGCAAATGGAAAAACTAATTCAAGAAGATAAAAACTACAGTAATAATGAAGACTATACCTACTAAATTCATATGTAAATGCTTACAATTCTAATCAAATTCGCCATAAAATTTTATTTTTTTATTCTAGGTTATGTTAAAAATAGGGTATATTATATATTCTTAAAGGATGCATAAACATGAGATTGTGACTAAAAACTAGTTGTAGACATTTAGCATGGTAGATACTAATGGTAATAGCAGAACTACTGACATAATGTGGTAATGATGTAAGAAGAATGAGATAGATAAATAGAGCAGAAAGACTCCAGAAAAGTCTTTAAAGTGTATATTCAAAGTATGACATAGCATTTTTAAACTGTAGAAAAACAGTATATTGTTAAACTATTAGTATTAGACAACAATTGTCTATTGAAAAGAGGAACACATATCTCTACCTCCTACCATATGAGATAGGTTCCATATGTAGATAGAAATGAAAATGACAATGACAAAGTTACATGTGTGTTCCAAGTAATTACATCCACTGGAGAGAGGAGCATGGGGTGGGAGTGGGGAAGAAGAATCTTCACTTAATGCATTGTTTTTTTATGAAGTAAGAATGTAAAGAATTTTAATTTTTACAGTATTTGGAAATTATTTTTTAAAAGAATGGACAAGGGAAACTTATTAATGGTTTTAGGGATAAGTGACATGATCAACCCTGCTTTGGCATGATAAGTACAAGAATGGAAAGAAAGGGAAGTTGTGCAGAAAAACAGTTTGAGTGACACAGTCATGTCTTTGTTATTCCACATTTTTTTTGGTTCATTATAGTTGTATATATTGATGGGATTTGTTGTTACATATTCATAAATACACACAATATAACAATATAATTTGGCCCATATCACAAGCAATTTCCCCTTCCCTCCCTTTCTTCCATCCCTTGGTCCCTTTCCTCCATTAATCTCCCTTTTATGTTTTAGGAAATCCCCATGATCTTTGTTTCCCTTTTTCCTCTCTAACTTCTGCCTATGAGAGAAAACATATGACCCTTAATTTTCTGAGTTTGACTTATTTTGCTTATAATTATTATCTTTAGTTCCATCTATTTTCCTGAAAATGCCCTAATTTCATTTTTCCTATGGCTGAATAAAACTCCATAGTATAAATGTACAACATTTTCTTTATCTATTCATCTATTGGACACCTAGGCTTATTCCATAGTTTGGCTATTGTGAATTATGTTTCTATGAACATGGGTATTCATGTATCACTGTAGTAAAATGACTTTAATTCTTCAGAATAAATACATAGAAGTTGTATATCTAAGTCACATGTATGGTGGTCCCATGCCTAGTTGTTTGAGGAATCTCTACTTCATACTGATTTGCATAGTGGTTGTACTAATTGACAGTCCCTGAACAGTGTAATAGTGTTTCTTTTTCTTCACATCCTCTCCAGCTTTTATTATTATTTATATTCTTGATGACTTCTATTCTGACTGGTATGGATGAAATCTCAGTGTATTTTTTATTTTCATTTCTCTAATTGCTAATGATGTTGATCATTTTTAATTTATTTGTTGGTTATTTGTATTTCTGCTTTTGTGTAGCATCTGTTTAGTTCATTTGCCCATTTATTAATTGGTGTAAAGTTTTTTAAAAATTTTCATATATTCTAGACATTAATACTCTGKCAGAAGAAAAGTTTGCAAAGTATTTCTCAAATTCTGTGGGTTCTCTCTTCACATTACTAATTTTTTTCCTTTGCTGTGCAGAAGTTTTTAATTAGATGTCATCCATTTATTAACTCTTGGCTTTATTTTCTGAGTTTTAAGGGTCCTATTAAGAAAGTCATTATCTGTTCCTAAAACCTGGAGTGTTGACCCTATATTTTCTTCTAGGACTTGCATAGCTTCTGGTCTAATTCCAAGGTCTGTGATTCATTTTGGGGTGATTTTTGTGCAGGATGAGAAGATAAAGGTTTAGTTTCATTCCTTTCACAGTGCTATTTATTAAAATAGAAGTGCAATAGATTAGACAAAATGGAATGAAAGGAAGGGAGAGGATAGGAATAGAAAAGGCAGTAGAATAAATGTAACCATTTTCCTATGTACACATATGAAAATACCTAAGTGAATGCCATTATGCCCACCCACAAGAATGAGTTCCTAATTAGAATAAATTATAGTCCATGCTTGTATAATTTTATCTAAATGGATTCTACTGCCATGTGTAACTAACAAGAACCATAAAAAGGGGGTGCTCTGTTTTCTCCAATATATGTTTTGGGCATTTTGTCAAGGATCAGATGAGCATAGACATGTGAGTCTGTTTCTGTGTCTTTTACTTTACATCCTTTGTCTATGCATCTATTTTTATGCCAGTACCATGCAGTTTTTGTTACTATAGCTTTGTGGTATAATTTGAAGTCAGTTGTGCCTCTAGCATGGCTTTTTTTGGTTTAAAGTTGCTTTGGCTATTCTTTTATTCTTCCAAATGAATTTCAGG